GATCAAGTGTTCTGGGATTCCCATTCTTCTCAGAGTCAGCCACAGTTTGTTATGATCTACACAGTCAAATGCCTTTGCATAGTCAATGAAACACAGACATTCCTCTGGTATTCCCTGCTTTCAGCGAAGATCGATCTAACATCAGCTACAATATCCTTACAATAGATAAAATCTGGTTGTATGCATCCAGTAAAATAAATAAAATCCACTGCCCTCATGTTGATTATGATTTGAAACTCTTATTCAAGGCTTATGGGATTATAAAATGGTTCAAATGCTATGAAAGGCAGGTTGGTGCTTCCTCAAAAGGCTAAACACAGAAATCCCATATCAGCCACCTATTCCACTGCCAGGAATATATCCCAGGGAAATTAGAACTGAGACATGAATGGAGAGATATACACTTATGTTCATAGTAGTGTTATTTACAATAGCAAGAAAATGGAAACAGCCAAAACGGCCATTAACAAACAAATAAAGTGAGAAATTGTGCTACATCTACACAATGGAATACTATGCAGACCAATGAACAATGATTTTTCATAAAATATAACTTGGGAGAGTCTAGAGAGCATTATGCTGAGTCACATAAGTCCCATAAGGACAAATACTACATAAGACCACATATTGTGAAAATAGCAAAACTAAGCAAGATATATATAAATGTTCAAAAGGAGAAGGGGAAAGGGAGAAAAGGAGTAGAAAAAAGGGAAGCAGGAATCACTGGGATAATAGAGTTTGGTGGATGGAGTAAAGGAATGGGAAAAGTTCAATGGAGACTTGAAAAGATGTGATAATAAAAGGCGTAAATCCATGGCAACTATATAAAATACAATATATGTGAATGATTGTACAAAACACAATGTACATGAATAAAATACAACATATACGAATGATTGTCTAAAACTAAGTACACATATGAAATAAATGATTGTGACTTTCTATAAAAAGAATTTTGCAATGAATAAATCATTGACTGTATAAAACTCTTCTGTTTAATATCCAGCATACAAGCCAATAAAATTATTTGTAAAAAAATTCCTTTTCACTTCGAAGTACCTAGATTTCAGATCTAAATAACAAATCTAGTATTATTGCCTCCTCTTAACTCCAGGGCTTGTTCTTCCATTCCACCTCCCCTGACATTGCCAAAGCCAGGCCTTCATTTTCTTTCACTTCAATTACTTCCACAGCTGCCTGTCTGCTCTCCCACCTCCCACCTTGTTTCCTCAGCTCTAGCCTTCCTGGTTGTCAGACTCCCTCTCACACTGATTCTCTCTGAACATATCCCCCTGGTCATATTCAGCCTCCCTTTTCTGGTGATGTCTGCCCAATTCCTACTGTATGTACCCTCGGTCTATACACAACTGGATTTCTATCAAAAGGAGACCTGGTACAGCTACTGGGGACAGTCGTTGGGTTGTTATTGTTGATTGCCTTTGAGTCGAGGTTGACTCATAATGACTCTATGGACAAAACACCTAGTGCCTTTCCATAGCTATCGTTTCTCCAAGTTCATAGAGTTTCCAGAGGCATGTGGTTTAGGAAGTAGATGCCACTCCTGCTACCAAACCTGTTTTACAACTTGGAGCTCCACCAAACACCGTTCACAATAGGAAACCATACTGGTATTTGATATCCCCATGGCACAAAGTTCAGCATCACAGTAAACCCAGGTTACCTCATACAGCACATTGACAAAGAGTGATGTGCAAAGTGGAAGAATATTCCTGCAGATATAACAGCACTAGTCTCATTTAGCAGTGGTTAAGTATCATTGAGTCGAACATGACTCAGAGTAAGCTTTGCACAAAAGACCTGAACTCCGTTCACTAATTAACATTGTGTGTGTACATTTATAAAAGTAATTGGGTAGTTCTTCAAAAAGTGAAGCATAGAATCTCCTTATAACCTTCAAATCTCAACCATATACAGCCAGAAGACATGAGCACAGGAAGGCAAACAGAAACCTGTATACCAGTGCTTATTACCTCCAAAAGAAGTAAGATCAAAAAGATAAAAAGAATAAAACATTCCACTAACAGATGAATAGATGAAATAGATATGACATATGCATACAAATGACTACTGCTCAGTCATAAAGAGAAATGATGTCTTGATGCACGCTCTACGTAGATGAATCTTGAAAACATACTAGGTGAAATAAGTCAGTTGCAAAAAAAACAAATACTACTATCTCTTATATAAAATAAACAACTACATAGAAACTAAATATTATAAGTAATTATCAAGAGGAGAGGAGGAGAGGGGGAGTTTTTCCTTAGGAAGCATTGTGTTTATGTTGACATTGGTGGAATAATTTGGGAAAGGACAGCAAGAATGAGTGCACAACCTGAAGAAAGTAATGAGTAAAAATAAACTCTAGGCTTAGAGTTTACATGTACAAGTTATTCTATATTAAAAAACCTTATAAAACTGTTCTAGTACAGATTGACTCCAACTTAAAAAGAGATTCTGGTACAATAACTATAATAAATCAGTTCTAACATAAGAATCTTTGTTATTATTGTCTTTGGTGATCATTATCTTTATAAATCCAATCTTTATTCATTTTTGAAGGATGAATGCATTACCTGTAACCTTTCACGCATACATTTAAAAGATACACAAATCTTGTCAAAAGGGCCAATAAATACAGTTTAAACATGCCACAAGCAGACAACTACCCACACTTATAAGTATTAGAAGAATTAAAAGTCCTTAATATCCAAAAAGAAAAGTTCTCTGATATTAAAAATACTTCCTAAATGAAAATTACCAAATTAGGTAAAAAAATAGTTTCAAAGTAATGAAGGTTATTGAATCTCCTGTTTAAAAGGTTTTAAAAAAAAGTATGCTATGTTTGGGAGAGTAGAGGGACAGCACAAGAGAGGAAGACCCTCAATGAGATGGATCAATTTAGTGATTGGGGTAATGGGAGTTTGTCAGAGACAGTGAGGTTGGCACAGGATAGAGCAGGGCTTAGGGATATTGTATATAGGGTAGCTATGAGTCGCAAGCGACTCAATTGCACATAACAGCAACAACAATATGGAAAATGAGAAAATGTGATTTTTTTTCAATTTACTGAATCCATAGTTCAATTAGCAAATAATTAAGTGAATTTAAGAGAAAAAAATCATCTTGGAAATTTTTAAATTTAGTACAGGAAATTTTTAAACTTAGTACATACAAATGAGATGAAACATAAATAAGAAAATATTTACTGACCTTTATTTCCTAACATCACAGCAAGATGTAAAGGAGTGTTCCCTAAAATTTAAAAAAAAAAAAGGCTGAATTAGTAAGGTAAAGAAAATACAAAAGTTTCATTAACAGATTTTAATAAAAATTAAAGATTATAAAAGGTATTGCTTACATGGCAAAATTCTAAGCAAGATTTTGCCATGGTTTCTAAAGACAATATAATCCCATTTCTCCCCTACTCCAGCCCCCAAAAAAGGTAGTCAATTTTGCTTTTACAAATAAATTTCAAACTTATTCTGTTGCTTACTTCTTAGCCTATCTTGCTTATTCAACAAACCAATGAAATACTTATTGTGGATTAAATCCCAGGGTATAAATCAATAAAAAGTAATCTTAGCCCTGTAATTATTCGGACATTTTTAACATGAAAGCAATTATAATTTTATTACTTATGAAAATAAAAAATGGAAAAGTATGGTGAAGACAGAGCATAGGGCTCCTAATTTTACCTATGAAAAGAATTCTATATACTGAAGGCCAGATCACACTGAAATGAACCTTGCAGAATGAGTTTGTTGCCAGTGAAGTCTTTCTGCCTTGCAAAGGGACTTTTCTCCTACTACCAAGAATGACTAAATGAGAGACAAGAAGTTTTCATCTGAGAAAAGTATCAATTAAAAAGCTTCTAAAAGCAAAATATGGAGGAACACATGGATAAACACATGCTCCCTGAAGGGGAAAAAATAAACTTTGGAGTTATAAAGGGATTTAGGCGGGCAGGGACGTCCTGTTTATTCGTAAAGAAAGATAGGGAATTCTGAGACATGAGTTTGCATCGCCAGGGTTATGGGCAGGAAGCTTCCAAATGGAATCTGCTGCAGAGGTTTCTGGGTTAAGAGGCATCACTTACTATGATGTAGGGAACATGTACTATTGCAGCACCCTATAGCTCAAATCTTTCCCCAGACTGTTCCAAGTAATGTTTTCTGCACATGCTCCAGGAAATTGGTTGACACTAGCTGCTGCCACTTCTCTGAAAAAAAAAAGGGGGGGGTATTACTGATAAAACAGAATGTAGAGAAGGTATGTGGGTGTAGGCACTTAATGTTGTTATGTACCATCAGGCCTGAACCAGCCCATAACTGACTATCCAGAGGGTTTTCAGAGGCAGTATAATTGCACTTCCAGATGGATAGGGAGATTTCTCATCTTTCTCCCACGGAGCAGCTGGTTGATTTGAACTGAGTGCCCTGGGTTGGCAGCGCCTCTCCTTATCATTAGGAAACCAGAGCTCTCACAGTTATCAGGCACCAGCTAGTACTGAAAAAGCAGACTTCTACTTTTTTCCGCATCTCAATTACCCTTTGAGAGCTAGCTTTTGGACTCTATACTATATCCTCTGCTTAAGGATTTCATATTCCAATGCTTTATGAGAGTGGGTGGATGCCCCTTCTTTAATAATTGTTTCCTGGGAAAAGGTGCTGACATACCTAATAGAGCAAAACTTCTCTGCTTATGCTAGGGTTAAGAGTATGGAGTGTCCTCCCTGGGCTAGAACCCCTGTAGAACAATTATTGCAGCTTGATATTGCTCTGGTTGTTTTGACACAAAAGAAATGATTGCTTAGAATAGACGGGAACCAATCAGTAGGAGAAGAAGAGTGGAAGTTAAAGGTCCTACCAAAGGAAGAAACCATTTCCTATTCTCTAAGGAGGCGAAACCCCTCCAAATTGTGGGCTAAGGTCAAGAGGTCAGTGTTCCAGTATCTATAGCTAATCTGATCTTACGTTTTTCCCAGACTTGTTCACATAAAAGTAGCGTTCTTTCTGCAGCATGGCTCAAGTCTCTCCTGAGACAGAAATGAGGATGTCCAACAGTGCAGCTGTTTGGGAAAACTACTCCAAAGTGAGTTTAGCTAAGAGTTCTGCTCAGACAGAGTATGAATAACGTCCTCAAGGAACAAGGGACTTTCCTAACCATTTTGAAAGTTCTGCAGTTGGATATTGCTTGACCAAACACACCTACTCTGGCTATTCCAGAGACAATCTTGAGAACAGTAAGGAAAGAATGAGGAATCACAGCTCTCTAGTTAGAAGGGCAATACCATTGGAATAAAAAGTACCAGTAACGATCTGCCAAGGGAACATCTGGTAGAAGAAGAGAGAATGTGCAGATAGATGCTGTTGGTGTGTACCACAGAGTTGGAACTAACCCACAGCTGACATTCCAGGGGGTTCTGAGGCAGTATATCACTTGAGAGCTGACTGCAGATCTATGACTTACAGGAAGGGGTGGTTACAGGCTGCTCCAGCTGGCTAGATTGGTGATGGAAGACAGGAGGAGTCCTTAAGAGATCTTAAGGAAGCAAGCACTAGAATTAGACTGACCATGTGGGCTTTTAGAAACCTGATACTAGGGTGGTGATTGACACTGAGAGGGTAACCTAAGTTTGTATTACCATTGAAAATGCCGTATATATCTAACAGGACTGATTAGAGAAAACGTAACTTTAAACATCACAACAAGATAAAGGTAAACAACCCAATTGCAAAATGGGCACAGGAGGGAGCTCTGGTGGCCTAAAGGCCAGAAGCAGCAATCACAAAGGCATGTGGTTTGAATCCATCAGATGTTCCACTGGAGAAGAAGGGGCAATATCCTGTGCCATTAGGATCTGATTCGAGGGCACACAACAAGTTAAAAAAAAATGGGCACAGGATATGAACAGACACTTCACCAAAGAAGGCATTCAGATGGTGAACAAGTACATGAAGAAATGTTCAAAATCCCTAGCTCTAAGACAGATGCAAATCAAAACAACTATGAGATATTATCTCACTCCAAAATTCAACAGAGCAGCAAACAATAAATGCTGGCGAGGTTGTTGAGAAACTGGAATCCTTATTCACTGTTGGTGGGAGTGTAAAATGGTGCAACCACTAAGGCAGGAAGTATTGACACTTTCTCAAAAAGTTGTAAACAGAAATACCATTTGGGGGGGGGGGGGAAGAAATACCATTTGACCCAGCTATTCCACTACTGAGAATATAACCTAAGAAAATCAGAACTGTCATCCAAACAGTTATGTTTATTGCTGCATTGTTCACAATAGCAAAGAGATGGAAACAAACTCAAGTACCCACCAACAAATAAATGAGTAGAAAAGCTGTGGTATATTCACACAATGGAATACTATACAGAACTGAAAAACAAGGAACTCATAAAATATTATACAAAATGGGTGACCCTGGAGGATATTATGCTGAGTGAAATATCTCAGTTACAAAAGGCTAAATACTGCAAAATGCCACTGTTATAAAACAGGACTGACATGGGGGTTAGGGGAAACTAAGAGGAGATAAATATTATACACTGCATTGAAACAGATGTGGGAAAGAACTGTTTAAAAGGAATATATGATTAGGTATTATTTGCACGAGAACAACAGAGCAAAGGGGATTGGGGTGGGAGGAAGAAATTATGCAATAATGAAAGAATTTTTTTTTTCAAACAGAAAAGCAAAGTGGGGGTGGGTGGGTAGGGAGGAAAACGTGCAACAATGAATGAATTGAAATCCAGGTTCTCTATAAATGGTCATTAAAATCGCAATTAAATTTTTTTAAGTAACTTTAAGAATGTGAGTAAATGCCAGAGATTTAAGGTGATTACTGACCATAACAACATCACAGGTTGTTAGGTGCTGGAGCTGTATATGATTCATAGTGACCCAAAGAACAACAGATCTGAACCCTGTCCTATCCAATGCCATTCTCATCATCTCACACACTTGAGCCCACTACTGCAGTCACTGTATCAATCCATCTTGCTGAGGGTCTTCTTCTTGTTCCCTGACCTTCCACCTTTCCAAGCATCATGTCCCCTCTCCAAGGAAGAGTAAGAACTGAAAAACAAATTCAAGCCTCCAGTTGCAATACTTAGGAATACTATCGGCAAAATCTTGAACGATCCAGGAAACATCAAAAGAAGATGGAGGAAATATACAAAGTCACTGTGCCAAAAAGAATTGGTAAATAATGAAATATTTCAGGAAGTACCATATGATGCAGAACCAACTGTAATGAAGGAATAAGTTCAAACTGCACTATATATTGGCAATAACAAAAAATAAGGCCCCAGGAATCAATGGGATAGAAATTGACATGTCAGATGACAGATGCAGCCCTGGACTTACTCACCAGTCTTTAACAAGAAATTCGCAGGCCAGTCACTTGGCTGACTGGAAAAGATCCATATTTATTACCAAGAAAGGTGACCCAAGAGAATGTGGAAATTATTGGGCAATATCATTAATATCATATCCAAACAGAATACTGCGACTAGCTAGTTCAGTACATAGACAAGAACTACCATACATTCAAGCTAGATTTAGAAATGGTCATGACACCAGGGATAGAACTGCTGATGTCAGATGGATCCTGGTTGAAAGTAAAGAATATCAGAAGAATGTCTACTTGTACTTTATTGACTACACTAAAGCATATGACTTTGTCAAATAACAAAGTATGGCTAACATTAAGAATGGGAATCCCAGAACACTTAATTGTACTCATAAGAAACCTATATCTAGACTGAGGCTACTGTGTGAACAGAGCAAGGGAGCACTGTGTGTTTTAAAATTAGAAATGTGTGCATCAGGTTTGTATCCCTTCTCCATACCTATTTAATTTAATAGCTACTGTATGCTGCGCAAATTATTCAAGAGCTGGAATCTATAAGGAACACTGAAGCATCAGGAATAGAGGAAAACTTATCAATAATCTTCCATATGTGGTGATGTAATCTAGCTTGCTCAAAGTGCGGGCTTGAAACACTTGCAGCAGGTTAAATACTACAGCCTTCAATATAGGTTGCATCTCAACATCAAGAAGACAAAAATTCTCACCACTGGACCAATAGGCAGCATCATGTTAGATAAGATTTAAACTGTCAATGATGTACTTTACTTGAGTCCAAGTCTATATTACCACTTATTACCAGCAGTCAGGAGATCTGGAAATGTACTGCACTAGTAAAGTCTGTAGTCAGGGATACTGTCAAATTATTGA